GATAGTGTGATAAGAAATTACGATAACTCAATGGAAAGATTTATTATGTGGATAAAATGTATGAAGCTACTTAAAAAAAGAGTTCATAAATCAATACAAATAGAACCCACTATGGTGCTGAAAGCTTAGTAGTGCAAGAACAAACAAAATCTCTACAGTAGCACATACTATTTCTAATAGTGGAGTTGTTCATGGTGGTATGTTTTATGATGTAGTAGAATTATATAAACCAACCAAGTCTTGGGTCAGGAGTTGTAAAGCCGCTCTATATGTGAATTTTCTTGCGAACAAAAAACAAGGTGAATGTCTGTTGTTGACATGGCACATCACACTTTGATTTCCTTGTTTACGGGATATAGAGTTGATAACCTGTGATTGGATAATAATAAGAAGAAGAAGAAGAAGAAAGAAAGATAAGTATTGATTAAAGAAAGAGAATTAGATGATGGCTCTTGGTAAGTGGAAACTTAAATAATAGGAAGGTCATATTCTGATCTTGAATATACATGTAAAGTTAATTTGTCTCTATATATATTTAGAGAAATTATATATATATATATATAAGAGAGAGAATATGAAGCACAAAAATATGCCATGAAGCTAAAACTGTATAAAATTTGTAACGATTTAAGTTTTTGAATGAGATAATTATTTAATATAGTATTAAAGTTATACTTATTAAATAATTAAATAATTACGAGTTCAAATCTATGACTTGATGCTAGCAGGTGAAAGAAAAAACAAGGAAGCGGTAGCAATGAGATTGGATGGTATCAAGCCATGCTTTTGAGTGTGTGAAGCTGTCAAATACTAGCTGAAATGTGTGCCGTGAGCCACCAGTTTGTTATGGAGCTAAGAACTAGACTTACTTTTATTTCATTGATTTTGTTAGCACTGACATCATCGTAATCGAAAGTAACAGGGTGCCATGACGTTTGCGCCTTTGTGACAGAGTGATTCCACATGGTAAAGGTCAATGTTCTTCTTTCAAGTTCATCTTCAAGCCCATTCATCTTAATGCAAATCATAAAAAAGATAAACTGAATCCATATTGTAAAGATCATAATTAGACATGAACAAGACATGATGGCTGGCTGCTTACAGCAAGTAATGTCTGCACATAATGTTCGTCTGGAATACAGTTGCGATGCTGTTTAAAGATCCGCAGCAAGCTTTGCAAAGAATATTGTGCTAGGTCCTATGCATGCATGAACTGAGACAATCAATCGGTTATTTAAACAAGCAAAAAACATCATGTTTTTGTTTACCTATGTTAATACGCTACTTTTTTCCCTTTTTTATTCTTTTCTGATACGAAACTATAAATAGCAGTCACTTACAAGTATCTGATGAATCTCCTTTAGATTATCCACATCCTTGGGAGGCCATCTCTGGAAGAAGTTAAACGTTACAATATGGATTGCTGATAGAAATCCCACGAGCAAAAAATGATATGATAGCGTTCTTCATCATAGCTTTCTTCATAAGAATAAAT